TATAACATATCCCTGGAAGCCGTATTCATTCAGTTAACAAATATGTATTGAAGTTCCAGTGTGTATCAGGCATTCTGCTGGGCACTAGAGATGCAGCAGAGAGTAAAACTTATCCGGGGCCTGCGTTCATAGAGTTTCTGTTCTAGTAAGACCGTATTATGACAGAGCCTTCCAACATTTTGCTAACTAGATCCACTGGAGGTAGTAGTCTTACATGTGTTTGTTGTACCAAATTCTGTACACTGTTGAGGCTTAGTTACAGTTTCATTCCAGTGGTCAAAAGCTTTGGGAGAGCTGATTTTATTCAAATTCTGATTAAAATAATGTTAATAAAATCAGTCCTTGCACGAAGGCTGTTTACTGCCTCAGGGGTATCTGTTCCATATTCACACAGATCCCCTAGTGTCTAGAGGGAAAGAAGAGAGGGGGACTCCAAAGTGAATTAACATCAGTGGATCACATGCTGTGAATCAAGCACTGTATATCATATCCTTAGTATGCATTGTCTTGTTCAGTGTCGAATTACTGTGAAATAGATATTACTACTCCATTTTACAAATACAACCGTAATAGCAGCCTTTTTATACTTCAACATTTCTCATGAGCCAGACACGTTAGGCCCTTCCTTGCATCATCTCATTTAATCATCATAAAAACTCCATGAAGCAGATCTTTTTAATTTCCCCCAATTTGCAAGTAAGGAAGCTGCAGCTCAGAGCAGTAAAGCAGCAAACCTAAGATGATACAGCCAATAGGGAACTGAGTTAATGAGTTCCTGTGTACCTCCAGTACCAACTCTTTTCCCCATGTTCCTTGATGACTCAGCCTCCACCTGTCTCCACAGTAAGATGCAGCTCTTTCTCTTTGGGTGGACTTCTTGGCATAAGAGATAGATCAGAGTATTCTGGTGTCCCACCAATAGGTGCACGTAAGCTGTCTGTCAAAACCTCCTGGGGACCTACTGACATCACCTTCTGTTCTTAGTAACTCTTCACTTCAAAGTCCAGGTCCAAGTTTGGGCTGTGTAATTTTAATTTCCCTAAATAATTTCATCTTGCTTTCCATTGGCCTTGCTCACAAATCTGAAACTCACATTGAATGCTGCTACTGAGGATTTACAGTCCTCTGTGGGAATCCCCCAGGACGCCCCCTTGACTTTGGAGCGCCTCTCTTGCTCCAGGTTGATGACCCCATTGTGTGCTCCTTTTAAGACAGAACACAAAAACAGATGCTTAAAATTGTCATTCCACAGTTGATATTTTAATAGACGTTGCTCCCAATGGATATTTTGTTTTAGGTCTCTTAAGTAAATATTCTGTAATGTGTGTGCATACTCTAAGGCAATATTATCACAAAGGGGGATATAAGCTGAAAATAATTAACTTGCCATATTCTAAAATATCAATGAGAGGTAGAAGCAGTATTATTGAAAAATAGTATTTCTGCCAAAGAGTAGTGAGGGGAAAGAAAAGAAGAAGAAGAAAGGAAGATGGGAGGCAGGATTTTATCAGAAAAAAAGAGATTAATCAAAACAAGCAGAAAGAGCATGCAGGGTCACTGTGCCATGAGGAGAGGTTTTTAGCAGAATACAGGTGAGTCTAGCTTTGGCAGAGCTGGATTGACTACCAAAAGGCCATCCTCCCAAGGAAGATGTGTGGTGCTATAAGTGTCATGTGGCACAAGGCCACATGGCCCCATTTACCTTAAGGGAAGGAAATCTTTCTGGACCAGAGGCCCCAGTTCCTTCCTGATTGGTACAGAATGGGAGCTGTGGAGTTGTGAGTGTCCCGATGCTGTCATCACCTTCCCTCCCATGCTTCTGGTTGCTCATGCTCTTGTCTTGCCCCATGTCTGCATCTGTTCCTTTATGGGGATGACTAGAATGGTGGCTGAGGGCTTGTGCCAAAGGAACCTTATAGAACAGACAACCAGCTTCTGTAGGAAAACATCATGACTCTAAAAGAGCCAATAGCCAATCCTGTAGAAAAAAAGACCAGTGTGGTTTGTCTGTTTTTAACATAGATGATCCCCTGATAGCCTGCTCATGGTAGGAATGGTCTGCACATGCTTTCCGCTTACTCCTCATTCCACTGCAGTCGGCCCTGCCAAATTCCTTCTGTTACTTTTTTGTCTTTGGCCCATTTACCACCATGATCCTCTTTCCTTCCCTCCTGGGACGCAGGATACCACTGTCTCCTGGTGTCCTCCCCATTTGAGACACTCCTCCTCCTCTATCTCTCTTCCTTCAATATGAAAGCTCCCTTACATTGCATTTTGACCTCACACCCCCACATGTGCTAATCAGTTGTGGCTTCAACCCTGTGTGCTCTGATGATTCCCCCTTGGTTTACGCTTTCCCCTAGCCTGCAAACCCTTCCTTCCAAAGCCTGCCTTCATCTTCTGGGTATGCTACCAAATTCAGTGTGTCTGCACAAAATCCTGCATCCCTCCCAGCAAACATGACCCTCCTGCATTCCCTCTCATTGTCTCGATGTTCAGCTCTCAAGCTGGAAATCACTTCATTTTTTTCTCCTTATTTTATCCACAGGGCCCTCTTTTTGCCCAGTGGATTATCTCACATATTTCTCTTACTGGCAGAAATTTTGTGTCCCCTTTTTTGGCTCTCATCAGATTTTGTCCGGATTTTATAGCAGCCTCCTGCTGATCTCTGCACCTTCTGCTTTTAGTGCTACCAGGCATCCTTCTTCTCATCACCAGCATGGTTCTCTAAGTCCAAATCCAGTGGTGCCACTCTCTGAAGTCATGCATTTAAAAGTAGCACCAAGGGTTAAAAGAAGCAGAATTCTTCCCCTAGAATCCAAGATCTGTCAAGAAAATTTGAGTAGGTAGTCTTCAAATGCGTAAATGCTGAATGAAAGCCCAGTAAATGTGAGCCACACTCTAGACCTCTGAATATGTCCAAGACATTATTATATTTATATGAAATATATCGAATTTGCTTATAAAGTTCAGACTTCGTTTTCTACTGCTGGAAAATTAAGAATTGACCCCTGAGTCAAAATTTGCATTTGTATCCTATCATGAAGCTTTAGCAAAATAAATAGGATCATAAAATTAACATTTTATTGTTCTTCAAAGATCTGTATTCACTTCACTACTCTCACTGAATTAAATTACCTTTAGTTATTTGTTTATATAAGGGAAAAAAGAGCAAGTCAACCTAACTGAATAAAATATGGATTATTTATAAGGCCCTTGGACTTTCTCTTATTTAAATGCTTATGAATTTCTTAGCTGACTTATGTATCTTGTGCCTGTATGAGTTTGGGTAATCCGTGATATGTCTTTACACACAAATTCTCTAATGAGAGAGATTTCTTTTTTAACATGAATATGGAATTATCCTTCAGAACTCGTTTTGAATGACAGTAGCTTCTCTTAACACTACATCTTGCTATGTTGTGGCTAAATTAAATTTCCTTGGGCTAGCCTGGGAACCTTATCGTCTTTTAGCAGTGTTCCAAATTCTCAATTAATAAATAAGAAGCTTTGCAAATAACTTCTTTTCTCAAATAAACTGAAACAAGCTGTGTTGTATTTTATTCCTAATATATTTCAACGTGTTTTTAATCAGGATGTGTGTCTTAAGTAAGAAGATCAGGAAAATAAGGATAGGAAAACTAGAATGAGGCTAACAATCAAAATGGATGCTGAGAAGACGGGACATTTGGCAGCCAGGAACAGCCTCTGGTCTGGCTCTGAGCTTCCTAGTAGCCTATACAAAGAGAAAACCATGAATGGTAATGTGAGTCACAGTGTCTGTGATATATAAGCACCCAATTGCTTAGAAATACACTCTTCCTGGCATGAAAACTCAAGAGATTACTCTCATGAAGGGCTACATCCGTACCATAAATACAATCAGTTTCAAAGAACAGTTTTTTTTGGCATCTCCTAGTGCAGCCTAATGGTACCAGACCACAGGCAATGAAGCAGCTCCACAAGAGACCCAAGATTAGGTCCTGACATAACCCACAGATAGAGCCAAGTATCCAGAGGAATAGAGGGCTTGCCTTTTAGTCAATCCTACGTAAATTGTACTTACTTCAGTCAGAGACTTGATATGTTTTGAGCAGCAATGAGTGGAATTACACTCCCAGGCAAAGTCTAAACTGAATAGAAAATGAAAGCTTTAACTTTACTTTGAGGGAATTGGCCGTGGACAGAACCAGAGACTTCTAAGAACTTTGGAACCACTCTAGTTCTATACCTTTAAGGTTTTTCTTAAGAGGCTATTTCAGTGGACCATCTTTCTTAAAATAACTTTTAGATGAAATATTCAAATAAATCAGTGATAGAATGAACCCCTATATAACTAAATTGGTTTATCCTACAGGGTTATTTTGAGCTATAAGCCACTTAACATGTACCAAAAATTAAGACTTCGATTTCAGAAAATGTTATCTAAGGCTGATTTTTTAAAATGGTATTTTGAGCTCAAAACCATTCTCCATGTTTCCCAAAACCTATCTGCCTACGGGTATACCTTTCCTTTTGTGCTCGAGGAGAGAGATGTTTTATCTCCCTTTATCCATGATAGAGAACACATTTCAGTACCTCCAGTGGATGCCTGCGGCCACAGATAATATGGAACACTGGGATTCCTGGGTGGCTCAGCAGTTTAGCCCCTGCCTTCGGCCCAGGATGTGATCCTGGAATCCCATCCCAGGGTGGATCAAGTCCCACATCAGGCTTCCTGCATGGAGCCTGCTTCTCCCTCTGCCTGTGTCTCTGCCTCTCTCTCGGTCTCTGTCTCTCATGAAAAACAAATAAAATCTTTAAAAAATATATATGGAACCCTGTAGTGTACACACAGTTTTTCTCCTGTATGTACATACCTTTGATAAAGTTTATACATTAGGCACAGTAAGAGAGTAAAAACAGTAACTAGTAATAAAATAGAATAATTACAACTATGTGCTGTAACAAAAGGTGTGTGAATGTGGTCTCTCTCTCCCAGAATACTGTTCCATACTCACTCTTTTTCTTCCTGTGATGGTGTGAGATGATAAAATGCCCATATGAGGAGATGAAGTGAGGTGCACGATGTCAGCATTGTGACGTAGTGTTAGGCTACATTGATCTTCCAAGGATACATCAGAAGGAGGATCGTCTGCTTCAAGACTGGTTAACCAAATGCAACTGAAAACACAGAAAGCAAAACCACAGATAAGGAGAGACTACTGGACTTTGTTCTTTTCAAACAGTCCTAGCTTTGTCAGCACAGTGTCCCTCAGAAGGATAGAGTTGAATGTTTAGCACGGGGATAACCTCTTTTCTCTGGTTCTAAGCCAAATCTATTAATCTATGTGTTAGTAATCTCTAAACTAGTGAGAACATCTTATATTTAAAAACTTTTTCAAAAAAAAAAAACTGTTTCAGTGGTAATCAATCAATAAACACACTGTTTTCCAGTGAAACTGCTTTGTAACCAAGTTTGGACGCAGAGATAAAAGAACAGGCCTTAAACCACGTACTTAAAACTACCACAACCAGACTTTTTCTGTCTGACATATTCTAAAGTAATTTAACTACATATGTGATGTTGTTGCAGGAATAGAATTGTGATGATGTGTCCAAATTATGCTTAATATAGGAAATGTTAAAGCATAATGTACAGTAATTGGAGATACATGTATGTTATTTCCAGAACTGTCTAACAACATTGGTAACTCACTACAATAATTATTAAATGATAGTGAGGAAAAGATATAAACATGTGGTTAGTAGGTGAAATAAAAAATATCTAAAATTCCTTGTTAGGTTAAAAAATAATAGCAAGTGTCAGTTAATTGCTACATATAATTCTGGCTAAATATAATTGAATTTTTATTCCTATTGGTTTAGAAATCTTGTACCATTGGGTCACAGATTTTTATGACGCTTTTTGGTATTTCGTTTTCTAGTAAGATTTTTTGATTGAACAGTAGTTGTAGAGTGCCTATTATAAGCAAAGCATAGTATGGCCTCTGGGGAAGAAAGATGAACAGGGTCAGGTTGCCTGTCATGAAGAGATGGAGAACCTGGTGGGGTGACACACTATCCATAAACCCGCAGGGACAAGGCAGTGGAATGGAGGTACGCCGTAAGGCTAGAAACAACATGCTAGAGGCCAAGAGGTGGCCTGGAAATGGGACTGCCGTGAAGCTGTGGGGCACAGAAGTTGGATGTATGTGCTCACTGGTGGGAACGAAATTTTCCCTGCAAGCTATAATACTAAAACCACAACTTTACTGCAAAGGGTATTTTCCTTCTCTCTTGATCTAGCAACTATATATTACCAGAGAATTCCATCCCATGTTCAGAGACTCATGTTTAAAAAAAAAAAGTAGTTTTTCTCTTTCCATCTCTCCTTCCTCCAAAACTCTGTTCCTCCTTCCGTATTTTCCTCTTTCCTTTTCCATACATTTTCCTGGTCATCTAGAAATATGGGATTTTGAATTCTGAGTTTGTCATTGGCCTCCCTTTGTAGCATGGCTGCTGCACTGTGATAAAATTCTGTTTATCTTTCAAAGATGTTTATCTGTTTATCTTTACTAGAAAGACTTGCCAAACCCGCAGGCCAAGTTATTCCCTCCTTCCTCATAAATATCCCTGTTAGAATAATTTAGAGTATGTACCTGACACCAGGAGCTTTGTAAAGCCTTGGCCTACTTCCACTTGAACCTTCACTACCTAACCCAGTACCTGCTGCCTAAATGGATGTGTGTGTGCAAGCGAGCAGACACATGAGCTAGTGACTTTCCTTTGACTAGTAAGTACATGCCCCAAAATGTCATTCTTTGCACCTCAGAGATATTGGTTACAAATAAAATAACTATTTTTAAATAATGGTGAAGATTCCCCCAAAACTAATACTTCAAAACTAAAGTGGTGATAAATAAAGTAGTGATAAATTTAGTCATCTTAAATAACAGTGAGTTTTTACTTTTTTAATAACATCATGATAGATATATAGTATAGGCTGTTTTAAGAAATAGGTGTTGAAATTGGAGTCACGTTTTCTTACTACCTTTAAGCAAAACAAAGTGGTTAGTTACAGTGGAGGAGTGAAGGGACAAGCTGGGGGAAGAGCTGTAGAATCACAGCCTGATCAAAGATACTCAGGCAAGACTGGGTGGCACATCCACAGGTCAACCAGCATCACATCAAAATCAACCAGCACTGCCCACGGTCCTGAGCAATCCCACGGGCCACTGTAGCAGAGGAAAAACATGAGAGAGCTCTAATGTTCTGCACCTGGAACCTGCAAATTAAACTGTGGAAAGATTAGCAGGAGACAAAGTATACAAATTCTGTTCCATATAGTATTTTTATAGGGCATGCGGATGGCTACATAGAAGAATGAAGCCCCCCATAAAGCAATTAGACTTGGGGACTCATGCCATTTTTACAAAGGGTGATGAACTATGGAGAAGTGACGAGGCACAGAAAAGGACTGGGGCTTTTGGCGGGTAGCATATTACAGGAAAGTGACTAGGAAACACATGGAGGGAACTAATGAATTATAAGGTATGTTTTCATTTGGCTTCTTTGTGCAGACTCGTCTTGGTGTAGACTCCCATCTCCAGTAATAAGAATGTTCTCTTTTTCCTGGTACTGGGAGGACACCTTTCTCGTGGGAAATTTATCCCCTGCTTTCTGGACAGAAGGAAGGACAGAGTGCCCTTCCTGCATCTCCTGTTTCTCAACTGCCTGCCATTCAAAATAACCAAATGCCAAAGTGGCATATTTGGGGGCAGAATGTTCTGATCCCCTTTGTTACTGTGACCTGACTTTGGGGTGGCTGTGGGGTCTGGGTGGCAGGGGACTTTAGGGGAGAAAAGGTTGGGGACCTCTGGTAAGGATCTCTGCTGTAACTAATGGATTTCACACACAACTGGTGCCCTTCTTAGGCTGTGTTGCTGGAAGGTTAATGGAGATACAAGTAAAGTAATAAGGCTGTGCCTGGTATGTAGTCAGTGTGCTGGACCACTTAGCTGTTGGGAGAGAAGGGTTTGAGGTCAGTTGTGATGCTCAGTATGTAGCCTTTAATGACTGAGCAGGACTTGCAGGTGGGAACTGTTGTCACAGGTGTGGGACCTGCCCATTCAGCCTCCAGCTCTTGAACCTTAAAAGAGCAGCCTCAGTAGAAATTTTGCCCAGATCAACATTTCCCAAAATGTAATGGGTATTACTTGGGGTGCAAGAGGTTCCGTAAATGAATCTGGGTGCCTGGCTTTGTCTTCCCATGTTTCCAGGTTTCTTTACTGTTTTAATATGCAACTCTTCTTGGTAACTCTTCCCAAGGGGATACTAGTGGATTTTTTTTCCCCCACATAACACATGTTAGGAAATGCTGTCAGATCTGATTTTCACCTGCTTTAGTCTCATGAAAGCTCAGCTAGGCAATTGGAAGGTCCTCCCCAAACCTACCAGGTCACCCGTGTTCTGCCGGCTGTGGCTGTGGTTGATCATTTACACCGAACTCCTTATTTCTAGGAAACATGTTTTGCAAACGAATGCAGCAAGGAAAGGCTTCCCAACTGAACCTCAGTGTATTGAACATGGGCCAAGAGGCTGGCTGGGGCCTCTCTTTTTTGTTAATCCATGGATAGTGGTTCTAAGTAAATACTGTTTATCACACTCCTGTGGCTTTTAATGCAAAATTTACACTTTTAAGGTTTTAGGAGGTAGTTAAAGAAGATGGAACTGATTTCAGTTTGTATGCCCAGTATTCACCGTGAACGTGCCGTTTGTTGATTCTGGGCTGGGCTTATTGGATCATGGAATAACAGACAATACTGAGGCCAATTGCCCTCGTGCTCTGAGCATTTATGTATATTGGGAAGTCAGCCTTAGATTTAGGCCAAGTAATAAAAGTGTCATGCAACTCAAAATCAAAGTTTATCGCAGATTTCTGATCCCTGAGTTTTCAGTGCTAATATCTAAGTGGCAGGGAGTAAAGCCCTTCATATTTTATTTTACCAGTTAGACCTGGTATATCACAGTTGTGGTCAGCATCCAAAAAGCAGCAGTTGCTAAGACCTTGGACTTAAGCAGTTAGAAGAAGAATATCAAATTTTAAAGGAAAATGCCCAGTGACATTATAGTGCAGGGTTTTATTAGCAATGCAGTACATTCCTCTCCTGCACTTCTTTACACTTCTGTAAAGTGTCTTGGCTCCTGTCAATGTAATGGCATTTAATTGCCTATCTTCAGAATACCATGTCTTCCTAACCATGGCATGCACTTAAGTGTCCAGAAAGTGTCACTACCTTTCAGAATTATCTGTATCCCACGAGAATTACCAACACTTGACTTTGGACAGGAGCTGTAGGTAGTAACCAAGACATGGAAGGTTAGAGGGACAGCCTATGGCCAGCTTCCTTCAGCCACAGCATACCCTGAAGGGAAAGATGTAGTACACTCACAACTAAAGATGCCTGTTGCCGCCAGTCCTATGGCAGAATGAAGAGAGCTAGTTTTATATTAATCATCAGAGTTTATTTTGAAACTGCATGTGTGGTTTGACCTACCATGTATACTTTATTGTTGTATTGGCAGTTAAATGGCAAGTGTTGTTCTAATATTATTTAGTCACTATTAATATGAAAAAGTAGTATGATAAACAGCAACCAAATCTGTAAATACAGACATTTGCTCATTTTTCTTTAAAGTCTTCAAGTTGTTTAAAATAAAATTAAATCTTAACACACGAACACCTGCTAGATGATTCACAAAGATGTTATGGAAATTATGTAATGCGTGGAAATATTTTGACCTACTTGGAAGAAAGATACAGTAACAAGTTGTTTGTATTATAGATGGCCAAGCAAACAAACTCTGTTTCAAGGCAGTATAGCACCTAGATCAAAATAACCATCCCTTAATTATAGTGCATGATATTCTGTGCCTCATGCTGCTTATGACATCCCAGGAGACATAGAGGTTAATTGCATTTTTAAATTCATAGAATTTTAGACAAGACTTTAGAGATGCCTCTTCTCTATGAAAAGCAAAATTAAAGCTCTCCAAAGGGAGAAAGGGCTACCAGATTTTGTCAGTAAATCTAGGGCTGTGATTAATGTTTTAATTTGCATAAATTTACATATAGCTTTCAGAAC